TGCGTCATGCGGAGCCCCGTGCAGTCATGCAGGTGAGCCCCGTGCTGTCATGCAGGTGAGCCCCGTGCAGTCAGGCAGGTGAGCCCCGTGCAGTCATGCAGGGGAGCCCCTATGCGTCATGCAGGGGAGCCCCCGTACAGTCATGCAGGTGAGCCCCTGTGCAGTCAGACAGGGGCACCCCCACTTGCTGGTTCCATTCTAACTCAGGTGGTATTTTTCAAAGTGTTTACATTACGGGCAATAATTAACACACAAGAACATTTAATGATGAAACACTTTAAAGGGGGGCGGAAGTTGCTGTCTTATTTTCTATCTTGATGTGTTAATAATATCTTAATTACTAAGTTACTCGATGTTAATGATGTGTTAAAACAATCCTCCCTGTGCTGGGATAGGGGCCTGGAATTGCTCTGCCCTCTGCAACCCTTTAATATGAGTGGCGCATGATTTTTAAAAGAAAAAAGAAAATTCTACTTAGTTTTATTTGGGAGCTTATAGACCATTTCTCATTTTTCCTAAACAAATGGTCCTCAACTAACTAATTTATGATAATTACTTTCTAGTTTTACGGCATTTAAAATCAGACAGTATTTGACCAAGGCCCCTGGCACACACTGAGGGTAATAAGCTATCCCACGTGGGAAAACGCGGTCACTGTAATTATATTTAAGTATGTCTGCCAGCTTTATAATGTGCTCCCAGTGGAGCCACGATGGCTCACATTGGACTTCACAGGGGTCAGTTCAGAGTGGGCGCTGGGAGAGACTCGTCCGGCACCAGGAAGGGGGCTGGTGGGCCTTGAGCTGGGGCGCGTTTGCAGTGTATGTTGACATCGGTTCACGTTTCAAGACACGCGGTTTCCAGACATTTGCTCCTGCGAGTCCTCTGAGTGCGTTTCTCCCTGTCATTGCAGCGTCCTCGACCTGAACGCCTTTGAGCGGCAGAACAAAGCTGAAGGGCTGGGGATGGTAACCGAGGAAGGATCAGGTATGGGTTACAGGGTGACAAAGAAGGATCAGGTATGGATTCCTTAAAGTAGGTCGCCTGCTCCCCCTTCCTTCCTGAAACGAATCAGCTATCAGTTACCTTTTCAATGCAGAGAGACACAGGTTTTCTTTAAATGGACAAAATGCTTATGTAACTCATTTAAAGCCCCTAATTGGCCACTCATGCAGGTCACACCCAAATCCAGCCGTATTGTTACCGGCTGTCGGTGGCCTTCCCCTGCTTGGGCGGTAGAAGAAGATCCCTATTAGAGAATTATCCACAAAGTGAGAAAGCGCATGGGTGAACACATTAGGAACATGCCTCCGCCAGCAGGCTGTCAGGGCCCCCAGACATCGCTGCCTGTTGCCCCCTCCCGGCAGCCGTCCTGTATCTCACGGACCCAGGCATCTTTGCAAGCGCACATTCTTTGATGAAGGAACTTGAAGAGTAATGTTTGTCTAGATAACTCTGATCACAATTTACATGTGCACAAAAACGACTCACATAGTCTTAGAGTTTTTCCTCTCTATAAATGGATCCAAATATAAACTAGGAAAATGAGCACATGGTGCAGTGGAAGCAGAAATAACTATTGTTGCACACTTACTTTAATATTTATTAAGAAAAAACCTTCAATATGTTTTGTTTTGATTTGTTTTTATTCTTTTGTGTTTGATTTTTAAATTAACTTAGTGTTGGTAAGCCTCTGTGTGTTTATCTGTTTTTGTGTGTTTGGTCTGGTTTGGAGTTATTGATATATTAGTTTTGGAATGTTGGTTTTTCTATTAAGCCAATCTTGCTGCAAACAATAAATTTCCTCCCACCTGCCATTGGTAGACTGCTGGCCTTTCTGAGATAATTTAGAATGAACTAATCTCTCTATCTCTGTATATTTTTGTTCTCACAGTAGGAAAAAGAATTAGTGCATATTTCTTGCTGGATTTAAAAGACAGTCATTTAGACATATTTTAATGCCGCTGCCGTTCCTATGTGGTTTTCTCTTGTGCTTGGCAGTTGAATGTGTAGGTTCCATCACCAAGTAGCAGTCGTACAATAACTTAATTGTGTGAGCTACCTTCAAGATAACCCCAGCAGCAGCCTACTTAGGTTTTCTGAGAATCCATATGAAGGAAAATGCCTTGGAGTTTGGGTCACAGTCCTACCCCTGGCCTGAGGGCCCGAGGGGAGCTCGGAGCCACAGTCTCGGGCCTGCCTCTCCCCCGGAGTCTGGGGCAGTTCCCAGCTATAAAGGGCCTGAAAATGAGTGAATTCTCTGTTCAAAGTCTGACTTCCCTGTCTTGGAATTGGAACTCTTTCATTTTTCCTTGACGCTGCCCCTAAAGGTACTAATGCTCTAAACACAATGTCAGGAATCGTTAGCCAGTTCATAGCCTCTACGAGGGCATGGCGGCCACCCAGGATTAATTTCCTGGGTCTTCTGCCTGTTGTCAGCCAGGGGAGGATGCAACACCTGTGACCCCAAATCAGAAACAGCTGGGCGGGAGCGGCAGGCTCCTGTGACAATTGCCATCTCTCAATAGGAGCTGGATCTGATTTGTCTGTGCCTTGTCAACACACACGCCAAGTATTGCCCCAACTGATGGACACCTTTTCTATTCATTCCTTACTAACAGCAAGACAAAAACCTCACCTTTTCTCTTCCCCCATTTCCTTTTCTTCCGACTACTGTGCGCACTGTCCTCCCTTCTGCAGCCGTCACTCACAAGCATGGTAACTATCCAATGAGCCACCCGTGGCTACTGACTCCCCAATTGCTGCAGCTTTTCCCTGGACAGTGGCAGTCTGTGCACTTCCCTCTTATAGACCTTCCATCGGCCGTTTTAACAAGTAGATCATTTCCTTTCTACTATTACGCATCCTGTTATTTAAAAAATGCATATACCAATGTTTTCTTTTTTCCCCTTATTCTCTGAGGATATGCATATTAGACACAAAGGAGCAACAAGCACTTAAGTTTTGGGATGTTATGTTCTGTTTCTTTCATTTAAAAAGTCTGGGAGGCCCAGTGTTTGCGACGGTTGTGAACACGGGTGACTGTAGGGGTGCAGGGTCTCCCGGGGCCTCTCTGTCGGGGATGCACTGGGGCTTTAAGGCTGCGCAGCTGGGGCACCGGACACCAGCGGCCACAGCCTCTGCCCTTCCCTCCACGCACTGAGTGGGCGTGGGCTCCTCTCTTCCTTTCAGAGCATCACAGGTTAAAACTAATGGTTATTCTTCAGACCAAATTGAAAGAACTCTAGGATAATAGGAATATTTGCTCTTCAAACTCATATAACAAAGTTGCTATTAACATTTCAGATCATCTCTAAAAGACATACAAAGGGGATAAGGAAGGGGTTGAGGTGACATGACTTTCCAGAGCAAGAGCAGCTAAATGGACTCTGACTTCTGGCATATTTTAAAAGCGTGTGACACAGCCATTCTGTTAAGATTTTACAAAAGCTAAGAAAAGCATGTCCCCTCATCAGAGAAGGAAAGTGGCTCATTCCTCTGCAGTCAAACGCGGAGAAACCTGAAAAGTATAAACTGTGAGTGATGTCGCTCCCGGGCTTGCAGCTCCTGCTCTGGGCCACCGTCTGCCCGAGCTCAGTCTTCCCTGTGATCATTCGCTGTCTTGCTGGGATGATGAAATGGCCGAGGATGTAGCCGAGGAAAAGGTGTCACTTAAGCACATAAACCTTTTGCTACCCACCCACAACCCTACAAGGAGGCGTTGTCCCACTTTATTTTTTGTTTCTTTTAAATATATTTTTATGACTTCAGAAAGGAAGGGGGAGGGAGGGAGAGAGATAGAAACATCAGTGAGAGAGAATCATTGATCAGCTGCCTCCTGCACGCCCCTTACTGGCAATTGAGCCTGTAACCTGGGCATGTGCCCTGACCGGGAATGGAACCGGGACCTCCTGGTTCATAAGTTGACGCCCAACCACTGAGCAACACCAGCCGGGCAGGCTGTGCCTTTATTTAGTGTTATCACCACCTCTACTAACACTAAGCTCTCCACATTTGTAGAAATGGTCATGCAGGTTGTGAAGAGCCAGTGAGGGCTGAGCCCTTTATCCCCATTTTATAGATGAGAAGACTAAGGCAGAGAGAACCACTCGCCCTCAGCAGCAACATTTCAATAACCCTCCTTTATCATAGTGTCAGAAATTCAAGCCCTTGTCTTTAAAACCACTGGCAAAGGAGAGCTCCTCACAGTAGGCACACTTGGTAGTGACCACAGGCAACCTTGCAAGGATGTAGGAGCCTTTTCAGCCCTGTTTCATCACTGATGACTAACCTTAGTTCATGGTCCAGCGCACTTTCTCCTGGCCGTCCCAGGCGGCCTGATCTCCTGTGCCCCCCGACAGAAAGCCTCACCCCTCTGGCGGCACCTGCTCCTGCAGCATGGGTGGCGGCAGCATTCCCACCAGATGCAAATGTGTCCATCACACAGTCGCACCCATGTCATGCCAGCTCACCTGTTCACCTGGCGGGAATGGAGGCTCCCCCCACCCCAATTCTGCTGTGAGCAGGTGTCTTCGTGTAAGTGAAGCTATGGTGTGTGTATACAGTTGAGAGGAAATACTGCTCAGGCCAGCAATGGCTAGCACCCTGGGGTAGACGAGGGTGCGGTGCACTGAGCATGTCAGGCCCACAGGGGGAGCGTGACATTGACCTCAGTGTCAACTGTTCTGTGTCCTCTCTCTCAACGGTTACTCACTGCACTTGAATACATGCACATTGAACGTATGTGCATGGCTTATGGATTTGATTTTCTGGGGGAAAACATTTCAACAGGCTCCCAAGAATCAATCATCCATGGAACTGTTAATATTTTTATCTGAGTCTCATTTGAAAGGCCCTTCTGGTGATGCTGAGTGTCATGGATGATGAGTTTAGTTTCTCGGCCCAATCTGTTTTCTCTCCATTGTCCCGTCGTGAACATAAACCCTAAGGAATGGGCTTAGCAGCCATGTGAGGAGATTCAAACCATGTGCTTCTAGCGGGCGAACTTGCCACGGCGCTTGCTGCTCACCTGGTGATTGTAGTTTGGTTGCCAAATAGCGGATCTTACAGTCTCACCGGGAAACCAGTACAGTGACGTCATGTACTTTTTTTAATGTTTATATTAAAAACATAATGGTTTTGCTTCCTAACCCTCCCATTCTATGAGCCTGTCACTTTGAAAGTCACAGATGCAGACTGGTAAGTCCATCTGCTCCACCATTGTCATCGTCACTGCCATCCAGGTGCACATGCACCATCGCAGCTCTCTCAGCCGGAAGTGCTCCCAGTCTGAGGAGTTATTATTTTTTAAACATATAAATACATTCATCCACTTGCCAAACAACATTTTTTGTCATTTTTATTCCTAAACTATATGTTGAACGCTCATATATTGAACGTTTTCTTCACTTTTTGCTTAAAAATTAGCCTGCAGTGTGTGGTACAGGTTTCTTGTTTGTTTCTTTGTGCCTCTGCTTTCGAAGTCGCTTGTGATAAAGATACATTTAAATTGAAATGTAGGTGGAATGACAGTGCTTTCTGCCGTCACCCTTCCCACAAGCACACTTTCTCCCAATGGTGCGGCGTAAGCGGAGGTAACTGTAACACTGGTCATTGATGCAGTAATCATTCCTGTCCGCATCTATCAGAAATCAGAGGGTGAGAACAAAAGCTTAAACCCTCAGGTTGCTCCTAAAATGTTGCCAAGCCCATGCTGCTCCTTTTAACAGAGAGAAACCTGGGTGTGAAGGTTCACAGGCTCTTGGCTGACAAAGAAAATGGGCTTCTATCTGCCAAGCGCATGGTCTCATGAGCTTCAGATAGAGGCGGGCTGCCCGGTGCCGGCCCAACATGCGGGGAGATGGAGGAGGGACAGGACATGCTCACTTGCTGAGGGGTAACGACTGGACTTCCCTGCAGGCGAGAAGGTTCTTCAGGACGATGAGTTCACCTGCGACCTCTTCCGCTTCCTGCAGCTGCTCTGCGAGGGACACAACTCAGGTGCTTGAGGCTGGAGGCTGTGCCCAGGAAGGCGTGCTTGCCGCCAGTACTGACAGAGACCTGTCGGTTGTGATGACGGGCCAGCCCTGCAGGGGGCGCTCAGCCCCAGCTCAGCCACGTGAACCGGGCCGTGTCCCCCTTTCTGTGCTGCGTCACTGCCTGGCAGCCCTTTGCAGCCATCTCACATTCCACTCAGCTGTTCTGATGTGGAGAAGACAGGTGGCCGGTGGAGAAAGACACACCGGAGAGATCTGTGTAGGGAGCTCTGTGGCTTGGTTTCCTCTGTGCCCCTGGTGCCCGGGGACGGTGCCACAGCATCACCTAGGGTGCCGTGTTCCATGCCCTGTTTATGGGTACAACGTCCTATGGCCGTGTGTCTGGGAGGGCAGGAGCGGGGCGGGACTCTCCTCTCTTCCCTGTCACTGAGCACAGTCCTAGGAGCAGAGGACCGTGAGTAATCTAATCACGGCCTCCTAGACGGTGGTGCTCCTATCCCGGCCCCAGGCCCGGAGCTCCAGAGCGAGGGATCGGGAACGGTCAGCACCCTCTGAGACAGAAATGGACTAGTTAGGTTCTGGGCAGCCCCAGGCGGGTTTATGGGGGGGGTCCCTCACTTCTTATGGACACTATAAACTACTTCATATTAAAACTGCTCCTGGCCACAAGGATTTTGCTGGAGACATCATTTGCTGGTGGAGTTATTCAGATAGCAAGTCATTTTACACTTTGGAACAAGAGGTAATAACATTGTTTGGTCTTGTACAGATTTTCAGAATTACCTGAGGACTCAGACTGGCAACAACACCACCGTGAACATCATCATCTCCACCGTGGACTACCTGCTGCGGGTGCAGGTACGCGGCCTCATGGCGAGTTAGAGGGGCTGCTTGGCCGAGATAACACGGCGTGTTCCTGTGTGAGGCTGCCGTGTCTCACGGGGCTTTGGTCTCCTGTCAGGACTTGTGAGACATTCGCCTTTGATCCGTCTTTGACCGAGCCTCCGGGTGAGCGGCCACCTTGGCTCTCTCTGATCCTGGCTCCACTTTCCTCGTCATGTCCTTTCTACAAGTGCGGATTCTTCCCCACGTCTTTTAGCTTTGGTGGCATTGAAATTTTCCTTTCATTTTGTAAAGCCCTGACATGCTGTGCTCCCCTTCACAGCTGATGGATAAATAGGGGAAGGATATTTGGAACATTCTCAGGAGTGGGAAAGAAAGGCTTTCAGACCACCTAGTTACTTCAATTTAATAGCCTCAGGTTTGATCCTTTCGGCTGTCCTAACATTATTTTTATTCACTTCCCAATCTGTTATGTGGAACGATTTCCTGTTACAGATTTCAGAGCTGAGCAGGCCAGCTTTGGCCTCACACTGTGCCTCCCCCTTGGCCTCTCTTCCAGGAGTCCATCAGTGATTTCTACTGGTACTACTCGGGGAAAGACGTGATCGATGAGCAAGGGCAGCGGAACTTCTCCAAAGCAATTCAAGTAGCAAAACAAGTGTTTAACACTCTCACAGAGTATATCCAGGTAAACATGTACCCACTTCTGCTATTTGGAGAGAGAAAGAAAACAGGAGTCCACCGGTTACCCTGGAATCCCATGGGCAAAGGCAACAGAATAAAAGCCCTTTCCTGTCACCATCCCATGGCTGATCGACCTCGTCTGCAGATCCTTAGCCAGGGATGATGGCCACAAGCTTCGGTGGAGAGGGGATCTTCACGGAACGACCTGCTTTACCCTTTGGCGGACTGAGGGGTCTTTAACTCCTCGGGGGGTGGCCCACGGTGTTGACTGAGGTCTCCAGGGCCTGGTGTATAAACTAAGCTCGCAGCCAGCATTAAGGGAGGGGGAGGAGGGCATTGAACCATTTGGCCATATTCCAGGAAAGCAAGGAAAAAGTGTCATGGAGACTTTATAAAAAAGAAGAGACTGGTCTTAACAGCTTCATGTTAGTGTGTGTGTGTAATTTTATAATATAACATTGTATGATATAGGTAAAACTCCAAATACTATGAGAAATACACCTTTCTTAAATATTGATTTGTTTTATGTTCTCTTTAGGCTAAATTTGTCTTAACCTGCAAATTTTGAAAAGATTTTATAAAATTCTGGGGTTTTTTTTCCAACCAGCCACACTGCTGTTTCCTGGAGGCCAGTCCGTCCTCTTTCCTTCCTCCCTTCTCCAGGGCGGGGTTAGCAGTACCTCTGCGTCAGGGAGCAGCTGGGCACAGTGCCCCGTGCTGAGGGCAAACAGGAGAGAGGGGTGGTAGTTTGCTTCCTTGGACTGAGCATAATCTTGGGGGGCAGGTTATGTAAAATAACAGCCACATGCCCGGATGTGGCGAGGGACAGGTGTGGTAGGACAGGTGAGTGAGTGCCTGTCTCCTGAGGGCACCCTTATCATCACTGCACAGTTTACATTTTGGGGTCTTTCTTTTCAGACTACGTGTTGGTGATAAGAGATGTTAATTTTGCCCCTATTGTTGGCAGTGACGTTATCAGCAATGATGCCGTTGGTCTGTTTCCCTGTAGGGTCCGTGCACTGGGAACCAGCAAAGTCTGGCCCACAGCCGGCTCTGGGACGCGGTCGTGGGCTTCCTCCACGTGTTTGCCCACATGCAGATGAAGCTGTCCCAGGTAAAGGCACCGCCTCCCGCCCTCCTAGATGCCAGCGGGGACAGCAGTCACTCACATACAAAGCATGCTCTCCCTTATTTCACATCACCTTTCTTCGCTTACTTCTTTATTCGTCTTGTACTCCACGTTTAAACACATTTTCTTAAATGAAAGAACTGTATGCACCCTGGCCAGTGTTGCTCAGTGGGTTGGAGCATTGTTCCATGCACCAAGGCACATACCCAGGTTGCTCGTTCTATCCCTGGTCGGGGGCAACTAATCACTATTTCTCTCTCACATCAATGTTTCTCTCCCTTCCCTCTTTCTCTTGAATCAGTGAGAACATGTCCTAGGGTGAGGATTAAAAAAAATTTAATAATTTTATGCAAGCTGAGAATAGATGAGAGCTCTCTTTCTCTTGAATCAGTGAGAATATGTCCTAGGGTGAGGATTAAAAAAAATTTAATTTTATGCAAGCTGAGAATAGATGAGAGCTATCATTCAAATTTGAGAGCAAAAGATACTGAACACTTGACTATAGGAGAAATAAAAGAGTTTAGTCCCCAGTGTTGAGCATTTGCAACCCTTCGGGGACGCACGTCTCCATGACACTCACCGTAGCTCCCTCCTCCCTGCCGATGAGGGGACACGGATTTGAAATCCGCCAGGCCCCGTGGAAGGGAGAGGTGTGCACATGGGGTCCATACAAGCAGCCGTCCTCCATAGAGGAACTCACCCACTAGCAGGAAAATCAACTTCATGAAAGTCAAAGAGAGAAAGTAGCTCTAAGGATAAGCCAATAAACATAGATTGTTGGCTTTTCCTTGGTCCTGAGATGCTGGGAGGTATCGCTGTGGGCGGAGCAGCGCCTCCGGGGGAGCACTCGCCCTGGGTGGAGCAGCGCCTCTGGGGGAGCACCCAGGTTCCTGCTGCATTTGCTGCGACGGTGTCCAATGCCACATGTTGCTCTTTCCAGGATTCCAGTCAAATCGAGCTCCTGAAAGAGCTGATGGACCTGCAGAAGGACATGGTGGTCATGCTGCTGTCCATGTTGGAAGGTAGCCTCGGCTTCGTGTTCGTTTGTACTTAGAGGTTTACATTGTGCACGTCCAGATCGCCTTGGTTCTTCTGCTTTAAGGGCCAATATTCAGCTCCCACCCCCAGATAGGACAGGTGCCCGGGTTTATTGGGGGCTTTATAAACTTTTCTCAGCTTCGTGTTTGAGAAAGAGACACTGTCTACGAGGAGTGATTTTTCAACCCTAAAGGGCTTTGCGAAGGCTCATTTTTACTGTTAATATGAGGCTGGATTTCAGTTCCTGCCCATTTTCTTTATCCTAAAACATGACCAATTGGAGGGGGAAAGGCCGGCTTCTGTTCAATACTCCTCCATGGTTATCAGTCTGCATGGTGTTGCGCGTGTTTGTGTAATTACAGTGACTGGCTGGCTCCTGGGCCTCACACACTGGAGGAGGCCCAGGGCCGTGCCTGACGCGGGGCTGGGAGGCCTGTGCTGCTCTCTCTGCAGACGGTGCTCACCGTGAATCAGTGCCGCTGTCTGCCTGCAGGTAACGTCGTGAACGGGACCATCGGCAAGCAGATGGTCGACATGCTTGTGGAATCGTCCAACAACGTGGAGATGATCCTCAAATTCTTCGACATGTTCTTAAAACTAAAGGACCTGACCTCTTCCGACACGTTTAAGGAATACGACCCCGACGGCAAGGGCGTCATCTCCAAGAGGGACTTCCACAAAGCGATGGAGAGCCACAAGCACTACACGCCGTCGGAGACCGAGTTCCTGCTGTCCTGTGCGGAGACGGACGAGAACGAGACCCTGGACTACGAGGAGTTCGTGAAGCGCTTCCACGAGCCGGCCAAGGACATCAGCTTCAACGTGGCCGTGCTGCTGACCAACCTCTCGGAGCACATGCCCAACGACTCGCGGCTGCAGACCTTCCTGGAGCTGGCGGAGAGCGTGCTGCGCTACTTCCAGCCCTTCCTGGGCCGCATCGAGATCATGGGCAGCGCCAAGCGCATCGAGCGCGTGTACTTCGAGATCAGCGAGTCCAGCCGCACGCAGTGGGAGAAGCCGCAGGTCAAGGAGTCCAAGCGCCAGTTCATCTTCGACGTGGTCAACGAGGGCGGCGAGAAGGAGAAGATGGAGCTGTTCGTGAACTTCTGCGAGGACACCATCTTCGAGATGCAGCTGGCGGCCCAGATCTCCGAGTCGGACCTGAGCGAGCGGTCAGCCAGCAAGGAGGAGAGTGAGAAGGAGAAGCCGGAGGAGCAGAGCCCGCGGACGGGCTTCTTCTCCCTGCTGACCGTCCGCTCGGCCCTGCTGGCGCTCAGGCACAACCTGCTGACGCTCCTGCGCCTGCTCAGCCTGAAGAGCCTGAAGAAGCAGATGAAGAAGGTGAAGAAGATGACGGTGAGGGACATGGTCACGGCGCTCTTCTCCTCCTACTGGGAGGCGCTGGCGAGCCTGCTGCACGTGGTGGCCAGCGTGCTGCGCGGCTTCTCCCGCATCGTGGGCAGCCTGCTCCTGGGGGGCAGCCTGGTGGAGGGCGCGAAGAAGATCCGGGTGGCGGAGCTCCTGGCCGACATGCCGGACCCCACGCAGGACGAGGTGCGGGACGACGGGGAGGAGGGCGAGCGGAAGCCGCTGGAGGCCGCCCTGCCCTCGGAGGACCTCACCGACCTGAAGGAGCTGACGGAGGAGAGCGACCTGCTCTCTGACATCTTCGGCCTGGACCTGAAGCGGGAAGGGGGGCAGTACAGACTCATCCCTCACAACCCGAACGCTGGCCTCAGCGACCTCATGAGCAACCCTGACCCCGTTCCCGAGGCGCCAGAGAAAGTGCAGGTACCGGGGCACCGTCGCGGCAGCTCGGGCCCAAGGGCACCTTGTGAGTCAGTGGGCGCCCAGGCTGGCGCTCCAGGGCCCAGCACAAGCCTGTGTTTCCAGAGAGCGTGGCCTTTGGTCAGCAGAGCTGCCTCTGGAGGTCCGTTACCAGTTACTGAATTATCTTAACGAGCAGGTGTGAACCGAGCACTCACGCAGGCGTTAGGCAGTGAACGGGTCTGTCCACAGGTACTGACCCGGCTCGCCACGTGTCTGCCACTGGCTGTCAGAGGGAAGGCTCCTGACAGAACTAGAAAAGCGTCCGTGCTGGTGGGCGGCAGGGTCACGGGTGGCGTGAATGAGGCGGCAGTGGTTGGAGCAGATCTGAGCAGTGGGACTTCGTTGGCATAGTCGGGGTCACTTAGAGGTCACTTCCACCGAGTCGGGGTCACTTAGAGGTCGCCATTTGGCGCCTGGGCACAGGGCTCTCTAAACTCATCCCAAGGTGGTGTGTGACCTGCTTTTCTTTCCCTTCACTTCAAGGAACAGGAGACAAAAGAGGAAGAAAAGGAAGAAAAAGAAGAAAACAGATCGGAACCCGAGAAAGCCGAGTACGTGTGGTTTCCTTGTTGGCTTGTGCTCTCTCTCCAGGGTACAGAATGGGGACAGGCTCAGCGCCAGGACCTCGTGCTGGGGCATCAGTGTGGGCACCGCCCGCCCGGGGCCAGGCCAGCCTCGCCCTCCGGTCCCATCGCCGTGTCCCACAGCAGGGATGCCTCATGGCTCCTTGGGACGCCTTCCAGAGCCAAGGGCCCAGCTCTGGTGTAACTGCACATGGGATTCCGTCCTGGAAACAGTGCGGGCTCCATCCCCCGTGGGGGGTGTGCAGGAGGAAGCGGATCGATGGTTCTCTCTCATCAGTGATGTTTCCCTCTCTCTCTCCCTTCCTCTCTCTGAAATCAATCAAAACATCGTTTAAAAATGTTAGCTATACCTCCTGCGGGTGAGGTTAGGTGGGTTATGTATCCGTGGGTATGAGTCCGTCTGCATAAATACACTGCCATGGTCAAAACATATCTTTAAAATGTTAGCTATACCTCTTGTGGGTGAGGTTAGGTGGGTTGTGTATCCGTGGGTTTTGGATATGAGTCCGTCTGCATAAATACACTGCCATGGAGGGTTGGTATGCTGCAGCTAGAGGGGTTTTAGGCATCCAATTTTAGTGCTGCTAACTTCATTATCATGTAAAAATTAATATCCTGACATCCTTTCTGTATGTGAACCACCAAGTGCATGTCTCTGACATTGAGTCCTAACGCTCAGTCACTGTTCCAGGTTGACTGTTAAAATCCTAATTTAGAAGTTAGACAGGCTGGGCGTTTTCACTGTTACTCCCTGCCCGGTGCGATGTCTCATTGCCCAGCGGGAAGGGGCGGTGCTCTGTACAGATACAGAGACACTCCAGCCCGTGACATGCCCTTGACATTTGACCTTCACGGGATTCTCCACAGGAGGCCGGGGTCCCAGAAGTCCAGTGAGCCCTTCAGGGTGTACGTTGCCGTGAGACATGGTGAGACCAGCGAGGCTGGGCCAGACACAATAAGAACTGAGGCTCCACGAGTGTCTGTGGGCTCCCGTGGGCGGCAACCAAGGAACCAAGTCCACCTGCTGGTGCGTTTGGTTGGCTCCGTGAGGACGGACCCGGGACCTCTGCACACGTCACAAGCGTGAGGCCTTGGATGTGGTGGCTGCCACACCCAGTGTCTCCCCACAGTCTAGGACGGGTCTGGGCGTGCAGCGGGCTCACTGCGGACCACCTGCAAGGGAAGTGACCGTCCCCGTGATTAAGTGTTCTCACTGCTTAGGTGCACGTATGGGACATGTATGTACTGCAGGCATGTATGTGTGTGATAGTAAGTTTTAACTAGGTTTTCTCAGCAGTGTCTGCCTCCCCTGTGTTGTTTAGTGCAGAGGACTCTGAGCATAAACATGTTCTAGAAAGCTCTGAGTGGCCCCTGGCACATCTACACGGGCACCGTGCAGACGCCTCCCACTTAATATTAAAGCAAGTGCTGATCTCCCAGAGCCTTTTCCTCACACCCACTCTGTCCGGTTCTGTCCAGCTCAGAAAATGGCACCAGCTGTTTCGTTAGGTGCTAAGACCCAAACCCAGCAGTTACCATCTCTGAGTTCTCTCTTCCACCTCAGTGCAGCCCAGCAGTAACTCTTCTCAGCTCTGTCTTCTGGATGCGTGGAGTCTGCCCCGCGTCCCCATCTCCACGCACCCCGGCGCAGCCTCCATGGCAGTGGGACCTCTCCCCACACTCCTGCGTGTCCCCCAGTCCCTCCTCTATTTTCCACGCGGACGCTGGGATAATCTTTCCAAATCAGAGTCCGAGGGCATCAAGCCCTCTTCAGATCCCCCGAGAACAAAATGATTCCAACTGTGACAACAGGACTCCTGAACTCTCCTCTATTATCGCATCTGATCCTCACAGCGAACCCTTATGAGGAAGGTTCTGGTTTATCTGCACTTCACAGACGAGGGAAATGATGCCACGGCAGTTATTCAGTTCTTGTGCACATCCCCCCTCGAGGCCCCGGAGATCACAGATCCCACACAGACCTCATCAGGGGCCTGCCACTCCCTCTAGCTCACCGGGACCCCAGCCCCTCCACACTCCCTCCCCCACAGGCTTCCTCTTCTCTGTCCTCAGAGGCACCCCCACTGCGCTGACCTCGGGGCTGCCCCTGTGTGCTCCTCTGACACACATTTGGTCCCCACTTGTTCTCTTGACCTGTTCCCCGGTGGCATTCAGGCCTCTGCTCACGCACCCCGTTCCCTCAGCCCGAGCCGGCTGGGTTTTCCTCACCGCAGTGCGCATCCCCGAGGTGACGTTCTGCCTGTGGGAGAGCCTCCTCCATGGGGCCCAGATTTCTAACTCAGTGATGCCCACGGTCTCAAGAATGATGCTGGATACGCACTAGGTGCTCAGGAAGGCGTTTGGGTAAATGAATGAACGCTTTATTTAATGGTCTGCACATTTCAAGTCTCTTGATTCAGTGACCTTTTCCTTTTTTTCACCTTCAGAACTATTTTGCTCGCAACTTTTACAACATGAGAATGTTGGCCTTATTTGTCGCCTTTGCAATCAACTTCATCTTGCTCTTCTATAAGGTACGTACTTCTTGGTCTTCATAACCGGTGTGATGCTACCGGCAGCCTGAGTGATGTACAGATGTCACAGACCCACCCTGAGCACGTCCCTGACTGTGAGGCAGGGCAGTCCTTCCTGCAGCTCAGTGAGGTTCGATTCCGCAGAGGCGGGCCGCACGCTCCCCGCCCTGTGCACAGCTCACTCGTGGCTCAGCTGTGACGTGTGGTTCCTCTGATCCTGGAGAGGCAGCTGAGCCATCTTGGTCCCCCCACGCCTGGGTCCTGGTAACTCTTGCTTTAGAAGGGTTGGCACAAGCGTGATAGTGATCTGCTGTCCCAGAAGCATCTGAGAACATCCCCCGTGGACCACGCGGAGGGCGGAGAGAGCACCCTTTCCCTGTGCAGGGCCCTCACGCCCAGCCATTGCGGAGAGGGCCGGGTTCCTTGTTTCTCGTTGGCGCCGATACCTAGAGGGAGAGAACTGACTGCGCTCTAACTGGTTTGAATCAGGTCTCCACTTCTTCTGTGGTTGAAGGCAAGGAGCTCCCCCCTCGCAGCGCAAGCGAAAGCGCCAGAGTCAGCAGCCCTGACGACGGCGGTGACGACGCGCCTGGCGTCCTGGCGGTGCACTATGTGCTGGAGGAGAGCAGCGGCTACATGGAGCCCACACTGCGCATCCTGGCCGTGCTGCACACCGTCATCTCCTTCTTCTGCATCATCGGCTACTACTGCCTGAAAGTAAGCCCCGCGGGCACTGTGGCCGCGCTTGGGAAGCGGGTTCTGGGGTGGAAATGACATGCACGGAACTTATTCGGAATGTTCCAGAAAGCCACACCTGTGGACAGTGGGAGGGAGCAGGGGCTGCCGAGGGGAACATGGACGGGGCAGACACATGGAGCAGGCACAGCCTCTCTCTGCAACGCTGGCGACGGCCGGTTGTCCTGACTGGGCCCAGGGGCCCGGCCACCGGACTCCACACTGACCAGGCGCGGCTGCAGGCTGCCCTGGGGCGGGCTGGCCTGGGTGGTCTGACTGGAGCTTCCTTTCACACACACAGTGGCCAGTGTCACCTGTAACGACCCTGCAGGAGGGGCCCAGGCACTGTCTCCCCTAGCAGTGCTCCCGGAAGCGTGTGAGGGTGATAGGTGCCCCTTGGAGCCTCGCAGTCATGGTGACTCTTCTGACCTCAGGAGCTCTGTGCTCCCTCCTGGGCACAAAGGTTTCCCAGTTTGTCTCACTTCCCCCGGGAGGTGATGCGGCTCCCAGGACGCCTGCAGGGAGCAGTGTCATCAGGTGAACGCACCCAGGAGGGAGCCTGAGTGCACAGGGCTGCCCATTTCCTGGGGACCTCTGCATCCTGCCTAGCAAGGCCCCTCCTCTCAGACCCAGGGCCAAGGCGAAGGCCAGCATCCGTCTCCTTGAGACTCCTCCCCACTGCCTCCCGGTCCATGGAGGTGTTCTAGGACACTTCTGGAATGTCCGCGTCTTCCCTGCGTAAAGTCTGTCCATAGGAAAGGGGCTTCAGTATGTTCTTTCAGAAGACATCTTGAAAACAGACAAAGAATTTTCCTGATGTTGAAATTAAAATTATTTCACAATAATGTGGTCATACTGAGCAAGGGATTATTAAAGAGATTTCTCAAATTAAATTGCATTTTTAAAAGCATGCATTCTGGAAGCTTAGTAAATGTTATACTTTATTGCCCTCGTGTCTGCTGCTACCATATATGTGCATCTATAATACGCCAAATAAAAACAGTTTTGTGTAACCTTTCTCTCTTTATTATTTAAAAAATGACTTAGTTACTTATGAACGTCTGTGTTTAAAAACACACGTGTACATATAATATCTATTCTCTCTCTTGTTTCTCCAAGACCTTGCGATGCTTGTTCCTAAGTATAGCTGATTCACTTTCATTCCATTCGTACTTTCCTGGGAGTAACAGGGAAATGCTTCTCTCCTAGAGCTGGATTGTGATGACAGCGGCCACAGGAGATGCCAGTACCTCTGAACTAATTTAATACGTTTCTTCTTCCAATGTAGGTCCCGCTGGTTATTTTTAAGCGCGAAAAGGAAGTAGCTCGGAAATTGGAATTTGACGGGCTTTACATTACAGAGCAGCCTTCGGAAGACGATATTAAAGGCCAGTGGGATCGACTCGTAATCAACACACAGTGAGTAGAGAGCATGCGAGGCCTGAGGCGCTCACAGATTTCCTCACGTGAAGTCCTTTGCCAGAGTTTCCTGCGTTCGATCAGAAGTCAGCAGAGTGATTAATGGGTGTTTATTCAGCCAAGAAAATCAAAGGCTCCGCGCCCTCAGCCCCTGGTGGAGGCCATCAGTTCCTGCATCTGTGTTCTCGTTCCTTCCTCAGAGGGGCTTCGAGTCGGTCCCCAGCCCCGTGGGCTTTGCCTCCATCACTCAGAGTTCGGGGGAGGGTGCAGGGGCTGGGGCCTGTGTGCAGGGTTATCTCACCAGAAGCACAGAGGAGCAGAGCCATTCATTACGGTAGGAGTGGTAGCATTAGAGACAGAGATACTGCATTTCACGTTTTTAATGTAAACTTTCCGTCGGTGCCGCCAGGCAGCCTGTGGACCACTAGCTGAGCATCAGGATGTGCCAAACAGAAGGCAGCAAACATGCTCTTCTGCACACGCGTTGTTCAGCCGTGTAGGCCAGGAGCTGCAGGCTGCTGTGCAGGTGTCAGCCTGCCCCAGCAGTTTCCCGCCATTGACAGTGTCTGTATTTTCAGTCGTTTGCAGTTCTCGAGGGAAGTGCCTCCTTTTTATTAGTTTAGTGATTCGTTTTGCTTACTTTTAAAAAGTCATTTCCATAGGTTCTTGATTTTCACATGGGGGTGCTTTGCTTGTGTATAGCACAGTAGACGTTGGCTCCGAATGCCGTGTTCCGTTTAGCACTCGAGGTGCTAAGTCACATTCCGCCCCCCCTCCCAGTTCGTCCCGCCCTGGCCCCGTGCCAGGTCACGCAGGGTCCCCGGTCGACGTCTCCTTGAGGATAACTGGTGCAAAGGAGACTGCTTTCCCTCCGGAGGAAAAGCAGGGACAGGTTTTGAGATCCTTTAAAGACACTTGACAACGCAATCTGTAAATAGATGAGAAAACACAGCCATCAGCTGGCTAACAGATATGCTCATGTTCTCCATTATGTGCATGTACAGTATTTATATATTGACACTTAAAGTAGTATTTGATGTGCCCACAATGCAGAAAAATTATAGGATAAGATGGGAAACAAATTCATTATAATTTTCATGAATGGAAAATATGTTTGCATATTATTTTAAATATTTTCTATATTGCAAGCAGTATGTTGTGATTTATCATACTTTAAAATAATACTCTTTTTTTTTCTATGCTTTTCTATTTCTTAGGTCATTTCCCAACAACTACTGGGACAAGTTTGTCAAAAGAAAGGTAATACTTCTTAGAAGGAATAAATTCAGTGTTTTTCCCCCCAAAGTGCAATTCAGACTTGAACTCATGTGGCTCCTGTGTAGAAAGAGATCCGGGGGTACGTTCTCTGCCTGTTATTCTCATGGCAAAGAGCAGTTGAGTCGAATGTGAATTCAGCACTTGGGGCAAGGGACCCACCCTCTGGGGCTACAGAATGAGGGAGTGCTGCTCCATCCCCCGCGCCCTGACAAGTGACTGGGTGGGCTCACCCGCAATACCCACAGCTGGTGGGATTCCCTAGCTCGCTCGCTCTGGTACCCACACCAGCCAAGGCCCTTTGCAGTTAGGGCGCCGACAGATCAGGCACAGTCTCCCTTTCCCCCAAAGAGGTAAAGGTGTTGGCCCGCAACAGAGAACCGCATTTTATTTTCTTTATAGCATCTTTCAAGGTCTTACTTTCATGAAGTTTTATTCTTCTGATGCCAACAGCATGGAGGGTGGTAGGAAGCAGCTGAGACAGAGCTCAGCTAGGGACCCAGCACAGAGCTCCGTCAGGAGCGGGGAGGGCTGCTCAGGTGGCAGTGCCAGCAGCAGCTCAGCGCAGAGGCAGGCAGCTCGGTGCAGGCTTCTCCCTGACGGTGCAGTTTTGCAGTTTGCGTGAGAGGCTGCGAGGCCGTTTTTTAAAATTTGAGTTTAGTTAAGTCACTGAGAGCCCTTCTTAGTAGATATTGTCTTGCTCAGGGTCCACAGCCATAAGCTAGACTTTAAAGTGAACTTCAAAATAACATAAATATGTAGTAACTATAAAAATAATTAGATGTTTTATGCACACGCAGAGCTGAGCGAACCTAATGGTTGAGGTTCTTTTCTTGCTGTCTCCTAGGTTATGGATAAATACGGCGAGTTCTATGGCCGGGACAGAATCAGCGAGTTGCTTGGTATGGACAAAGCCGCCCTGGACTTCAGCGACGCCCGGGAGAAAAAGAAACCCAAGAAAGACAGCTCCCTGGCGGCGGTGTGAGTGTCGCTGCTCTGCACCAGCTGGAAGGAGAAACAGTGATAGCATTTGACCTTGCAGGAGCCTTGGTCTCCTTCCCCCGGGTCAGAGGGACCGAGAGCCAGAGAGCAGAGTGTACACAGTCTACTTTATACCTCGGGCTATTTTGAGCTACAAATGATTGGATTTTTTCTATTAATTTTTGAAGGTGCCTTTTTCATTTTCTTTTAGAAATGTATTTTATTGATTTCAGAGAGGAAAGGAGAGGGGGAGAGAGAGAGAAACATCAGTGATGAGAGAGAATCATGGATTGGCTGCCTCTGCACGCCCCCCCGCCGCTACTGGGGATGGAGCCTGCAACCTGGGCAAGTGCCCTGCCCAGGAATTGAACCGTGACCTCCTGGTTCAAGGTCGATGTTCAATCACTGAGCCATGCTGGCCGGGCTGAAGGTGCCTTTTTCATTATGTACATAAAACAACAACAACAAATGCTCTTAATTTAACTTGCCTTTTCTTTCCTTCAGCCAAAGTAAAACATATGCAAAAGTACAATATATGACTATGTTTTCTGATACTTCTTGTTTGGAAAAATGTTTATTTTCTTAAGTTTTGGAAATGAGGACTATGTAACCCTTTTATTTTTTTAAATATATTTTTATTGATTTTTAGAGAGAGGGGAAGGGAAACATCGATGAGAGACAAACGGGAAATTCAGACATCCCGACGTTACCCTGACTCTGTTGTAGGTTGCTCTGGGGGAAACAAATCATGCTCTCATGGCGCTCTGGGTGCTGCAAGCCTCCTGGGTGTGGATCTGGGATAAAACTAATGTCCCGGGCAGTGCCAGGCTCATCCCTGGCATCTGCTTAATGGGCACATCAGCACATTCTTTGTCTTTCCAGACTGAACTCCATCGACGTGAAGTATCAGATGTGGAAACTCGGAGTCGTTTTCACTGACAATGTAAGTTACGGCAGAGCGCAGGCCTCCGGTTTCTGAGGCTGCCGGCTGCAGATGTTACCAACCTTCTAAATCAATTCACTGAATGCAGAGCACAGCTGGGCAAGACCCAGGGGATACGTGATCAATCGCCTGTCTCTCATTCCCTTTCTTCCAGTAGCTGAGATGAAAACAAACATATCTTTACACAAGAAAAAACTGAGATGCGAAGTTTGTGTAGTTTCATTTAGGTTTCAGTTGGGCGGGACATACTTCAATGTTTCGTAGATGTTAAAAAGAAAGTTCTAAATACATAAAAAGAATTTAAATACTAATTATGATAAATGTTAGTTACTCCGAAATTAAATAATTATTGTGTTGATACTTCGCTTATCAAAGAGCCTCAGAGCCTCAGAAATAAACATAAGGACCAGTTAGGTGCCCACAGACAGTGAAAAAAATCTCTTATTACCAAAAGCTACCTGCTGTCAGCAGCTGATCCTATTTCTCCATCCTGGCTTGCTCAACGGTGTCACATTTTTTGTTCTTGAAGTTTTCAGATTAAATAATTGTCCCTATCAGTTGTCGTCCCATTTGCTGGCTGTGGGAATCGCTGGAGAGAAGCCTGAGACTTGGCTGAACGGTGAACCAGGCACGTTCGATGTCGGATGTCAGCCAGCATCCCAGACCTCTCACCAGCCTCTCACCCTACACCCAGCAGTGCACCGGCCTTGTGCTCCGGCTGCGGCTTCTCCCGTGGGCCGCTCATTTCCTCTTAAAGTCTCCCTTTAATTTTAGCACTGACTTCCGTAGTGAACACGAGTTCCACTCTCCCAACGACTGGTGACACCCCCAAGTTCTCCTGCCTCTCCCCCCACCTCACTCGGCCCCGAGCCCAGATGCCAGTCACTTAGAGACTCTCCTGAGGCCCCAAACCCTGGCTGTGGGTCTTGGAACTGTCACCTGTTCGTGAGGCGTCTTGCAGCTAATTTCTCCCTAATGGTGGAGGCCACTCCCTGATGATGTAATTAGAATTCTCTAAACTTGTAATCTAAGAAGGCGAAGTAAACGGAGTGGCTGCACTAGAGTGGAACCAGCACTGGGACTGTAGTCACCGGCTCTGTTCTCTGACGCTCTGTGTCCCTTCCCGTCCGCAGTCCTTCCTGTACCTGGCCTGGTACATGACCATGTCCGTGCTGGGCCACTACAACAACTTCTTCTTTGCTGCTCATCTTCTCGACATCGCGATGGGGTTCAAGACGCTGAGGACCATCTTGTCGTCAGTAACGCACAATGGCAAGCAGGTGAGAGGGTTTTAGAAGATCTTTTCAACTGTGGCATTTCACAGGGGAAAAGTTGGACTTCAAAACAGTGTCGGTATCAGCTACTAAAGTGTCTTTCACTTTGACCATTGCTTTATGTTAGCAAAACAGGATATATATTTATAAATATTTATATTATATATCATTAATAGTGTGTATTTCCAGATGTTTGAAGCAATGCGAATTTCTATTTAGTTTTAGGATATGGAAACTGAAGGGTCCCGGGTTCAATTCTGGTCAAGGGCATGTACCTTGGTTGCAGGCTCCATCCCTGACCTTGGTCGGGGCTGTGTGGGAGGCAACCAATCGATGTGTCTCTCTCACATCGAAGTTTCTCTCTCTCTCTCTTTCTCTGTCTCCCTCCCTTCCACTCTCTCTAAAAATCAATGAAAAAATCATTAATCAGATGAGGATTAATAAAAAATACATATATTTGATTTATAATCAGTCTTAACGAGATAGTTTTAATTGGAATGTATATTACTTAAAGACATTATAAAAGGGAAAAACAATGTAGTACCTACTGTCAGATATTTAGATGATAGAAAAATGAAGATTTTAAGCAGCTTATTATTATCAATTTGGATATGAAGTTAAAACAGTTGATTTATATTCCAGCTCTAGGATGCACTTACTAACTAAGGAATCAAGTTTTACATAAAATATCCAACACCTTCATAAAATAAAGAGAATATGAAAACAGTTCCCCCTGGGTGGTGGGAAAGGCCTCTGGTCGCCTGGCTGGTGTGGCTCAGTGGTTGAGCGTCCACTTATGAACCAGGAACTGTGAGGTCACAGTTCGATTCCTGGTCAGGGAACATGCCTGGGTTGCTGGCTCGATCGCCATTGTGGGGCATGTAGGAGGCAGCCGATCGATGATTCTCTCTCATCATGGATGTTTCTCTCTCTCCCTTCCTCTCTGAAATCAATGAAAATATATATTTAAAAAAGAAAAGAAAGCCATCTGGTCAGTGAGTCCAGCTCATGCCAAACCCCACACAGACATCCCTCCCACAGCCGCCCTGTCTCGTGTCCTAACACCCGCTCAATGTCACGTTGCTTTCCAGCTGGTGTTAACCGTGGGCTTATTAGCCGTTGTCGTCTACCTGTACACGGTGGTGGCATTCAATTTCTTCCGAAAATTCTACAATAAAAGTGAAGACGGAGACACGCCAGATATGAAATGTGACGACATGCTGACGGTAAGTTCATGCTGTGTGGTCTCGTGTGGACGAAGATGCGTCTGCGCCTCAGTCTAACTAGTGCGTGCAGCTCCTCTGTAACGGTGCAGAGCAGGAGCGGGTGCACATCCAGCACCGCCGTCCTGCTCATTAGAGCTCATGCAGCCCATCCACACGTTCTCTTCCCTGTAGAGGAAACCCACATGGGAAGCCAAAATGTAACCCAAAAGTCATGGTCAGGAGGACGGTCTTACACAGACGTGTCCCTGGAGCAGGGCCTGGCAGGCGAGGCATCCCGGGCCCCCCAGGGGTGTGGGTGTGGACCTGGGAGCCAGAACTGGACCTGGAAGAGTGCTGGGAAGGGCCAGGAAATTGTCCAGTGAGCCCTCCGCCCATGGGGGCGCTGCAAACGGAGCAGAGGAGATGAAGCTGGGCAGGCGGCAGGCGGCAGGCGGCCGCTGTTAGTCGTTAAGTAAGGAGGTGCAGCTGCAATGGTGACGTGACCCATTCCCTGTCATGTGAAGACAGATTTGGAGAAAAACATATCCAAGTTCTTTCCTAAAGCCCCCAGCAGCGACTGCTGCGGTGGGTGGTGCAGGAACCGGCTGAGCCTGTGTGTGCAGGCGGCTGGCTGGGAGGTGGGTGTTTGCATCACGTTACAGGTTCTGAAACGGGGACAGGGAGCGAGAGCCGCACTCAGGTCCCCGGGATTAGGGCTTTGATTAGAGAGAGAAGTGAGGCTCTGGGGGTGAGACCCGGTGTCCTCGGGGGGCGTGTCCTTGGAGGTGTGTCCTTGGGGCGTGTCCTCAGCAGGGGCCCTCTCTCCGCAGTGCTACATGTTCCACATGTACGTGGGTGTGCGAGCTGGAGGCGGCATCGGCGATGAGATCGAGGACCCGGCGGGCGATGAGTATGAGATCTATCGGATCATCTTCGACATCACCTTCTTCTTCTTCGTGATTGTCATCCTCTTGGCGATAATACAAGGTGACCCTCCTCCCGGGTCCCAGGCGAGCTGGAACCTGAGCCCCCAGTGTCCGCAGCCGCTGAGCGGGCTAGTGTTTTCAGGGGAGCCAGCGGGCTTTTCCGCCCAGAGCCTGGGTGCGTCGGGTCCAGGGGAAGGTGGGCCATGGACACGAGGGAAGGAGTCTCGCCTGGCCCTGCCACCAGCCCTGCTGCGAGCGCTACAGCCCCTAGGGGTGTCCTCAGCCTCGGGTTCCATCAAACTATCAGTCTCTGAGCCCTCAAATACTTAACAATCTTTTAAAATATTTTTTAAATGAGGCACTTGGCGAGGCTGTGGGAGGGTGGTGCTGTTCACACTGGAAGGAAGGAGCCCTAACTCGTCTAAGTCACGCCCGGCTCCACTGAGGTGTCAGAGCCTGAGCAGGACCCGAGCCTCAGGACCAGCCAGGCCCACCTGGCCCCACGGCACCTCGGGGTGTGGTTTCTCCCCCAGAAAACACTCCGGATCTTTGCCGCTCGCGCCGGTGTCCTGGCCGGAGGGAAGTGTGGCTACATGTGCTATTATGTCTGAGTGCTCAGCATAAAGGGATGCTTTTCTCATGACGAGCATGGACAGGCCTCACAGACTCACGCCCGTTCTCCATGTCGTCACTGAGTGTCACCATAACGCGTTCAATTCGAGGGCAGAGCCATAGGACACGTGGGAGAAAGGGCGCACCAGCACCCCAGGAGGGAAGCAACTGGGGAAGTTTACTTTTAGGGAACATGGGGGGGATGGGAATGATTGGCAGCTCATTCCTCCCAGCGAACGTGGCCACGCTGGGTTTCCAGACACGAGTGGACAGCGCATTAGGCCATTTTCTGGGCTTCATGAAGCCGCTGTTTTCGGCATGAAGTTGCTGTGACAGAGTCTGGTTGGTGTCGGCCCCGTCACTGCGCACGCGTCTGCCCCACAGGGAGGAGGCCCAGCCCTGGGGAGCACTGGGGTGCGCTCGGGGGTCCCCACTGCTAAGCAGTGTCCAGTGTGGCTGCACACGCTCCCTCCCCAGGGAGGGCCAGCCGGGGTTTGCGAAATTGATGATGATTCTCGGGTGGATGAAGACTAAACCGTGTCTTTACTTAACACCAGGTTTAATCATCGATGCGTTTGGGGAACTGAGAGACCAGCAGGAGCAGGTCAAGGAGGACATGGAGGTCAGTGTCCCGTTTCTGCCAGGTGCATGATGGGTGCGCCCCTCCCTCACTGCCTTCGCCACGGAGTCCCGCGTGTGTGAGCAGGGGGAAAGGGCAGGCACGCGCCTGAGCCGTGTGCTGGGCTGGACCTGGGGGGCCCTGGGCACGTCACCCCTCAAGGGACGGGAGACCATTCAGAAGGGTGGGTTCCCGGGGACCCTTAAGGATGCAGCCCTGAGTGCCTGGCTGACTTCCCCTTCGATGTTCAGGGGAGGTCCTAAAAGAAGGGGTCCCACGCTGAGGCCTGGAGATTTGAGAGAGAGCAGGGCATCTGGCAGCCTCCTTCCCGCTGTACACACACACACACACACACACACACACACACGTCTCCAGGGGCACCGCCCACGTGAGATTCCGTGGGACGGTCACTACCCAGGTTGTACACACCAGGATTCGGGTCTTAGGGAATTTGAAGTGCAGATTTTTTTCTTGGAAGCATAAGTAGTTCAGGTGAATTAGTACATCCTGGGGCTGGGACTGGGGCTGTGAGGGCTGCGGGAGGCCAGCTGCTGAAGAGGGGTTTGCAGGGGGAGATAAGAAAGGGGCAGTGAGGCGATGGACTGAGACTTTACCAGGTAACTGTGGTCTAAAATGCAGGGGGTGAACAGGACCAGGGCAGGGCGTGGCCAGCAGCATTTTCCAGTCAGAGGTGATGAGGTTTTTGCTAAGAAGTGCCCCTGAGGGCCCAGGAGCCAGTCGGACGCCAGCAGCCTCAGGCCTCGGCATGGAGAGACCTGGGGCCTGGCGAGGCAGAGGGCGAGGAGTTGGGGCAGCAGGTTATCGGGTCTGCGCAGCGGCTGCGTGGTGAGCGGTGGCCTTGGTTCTGCCTTCTGAACGCTGACATTTCCGTCTTCCCTTCGTCTTCTAGACCAAGTGCTTCATCTGTGGGATAGGCAACGACTACTTCGACACGGTGCCGCACGGCTTCGAAACCCACACCCTGCAGGAGCACAACCTGGCCAACTACCTGTGAGTGTGCCCG